AAAAGTTGAGAATCCCTGCTCTAGTATATCACTTCAAAATTAGGGACGGCTAGTGCAGATAGCCCTAGAGTAATTTTGCAAACAAACAAACCATGCGATATTAGTGTCCTGCCAAAGTATCCAGGCCATGTACACAGATTGGAGGTATGTGTATGCAATAAAACATTCAGGGTACGCTCTATAGCTTCAAGTAAATAACATATCAAGATAAACAGATAAATGCTCGAAAGATCATCGTAATATGATTAAAATTTGTTATATAACATACTAAATAGGATTAACCACAACTCGTGTCCATTCTGGTGTTTGAGGTATTACTGTCACTGTCTGTGCCAAAGACTGACAGTTTATAAATAGGACCTGGCGTAGCCAAGTAGTTATTATGCCCGAATTATGAATCCGTTAATTCATGGCCCGCGTTCCGCAAAAGCACGTTCCTCACTTTGGGGGTGGGCGTGCCATAAGAGTGAGTGACAGTGTAAAGTCAGGCAAGAGAAGCTCGAGAGTTCGAGGTATGTGCTATTGACTAACCGCCCTCTCTCTCTGGTCGTCGTTGAAAATCAAGAACGGCTAACACAGATAACGTTCGAGTGCTTTAAGCGAAATTCTGTAACAAACAAAAGCTTGCGAAAATGTTTATGTTGAATCGCAGATAAGTGAGAAACGACCCTGTAGTGTGGACTGGTGCTTCTAGGAGCATATTAACTGTCTACATTCTCATGGTAAAGAATAGTTTCTGTTGAAAATTGGTTCATATTAGTTAATGGGGAGAGTACAGCCGACCTTCAGGTATGAAGTTTTAATCAGAATTTGAAAAGTTCGTTTAAAAATTGTATAGTGTGAACCTTTTAGATATTGTATATTTCGCGTTTCTTCTTAATTGATAAAACTGTTTCCAACCTTTGATATTTCAGCTACCTGTCATCATTGCTTGATTAAATGTGTCGCTTTTCTGTAGTTTAAAAATCAATAGATTGTCCAGCAATCGTTTTCGATAACACGTGAAACAGTAAAGATTTGCCAACTAGTTTCATCGAACAGTACAGTAGCACAAGCTCTTCAGTTTGTTACTTCAAATTCTTAAATGTCGTAGTGCTATTTATAGCACAATCAATCTCGAAACATTGTATCTTATATCTGCTTACAATAGAAATGTAGACTTATAAAAGCTCGTATCATACTGTTAAATTGGAAATTAAAAGCCAAAAACTTAGGCTTTTTTTCTAACTTCATTGTCAAGTTATTATTATTATTTTTCACTTACTATTAACATTAATACAGCAGTGCGTGTGGGAAGTGGCGTAAGTATGCCACCGCAATTGCGGGGGGCCCGAGCCAAAAGAGGGCCCCGAAGGGCCTGACAAACTTAATAATTATCGACAAAGGAAGAGAGAATTTTAGTTGTTTGAACTAAAGGACGGTTGCACTATTAAGTTAAGTTTATTATATCAATTAGCCAGAATCGAAACTACAGTTATAGGGAAATAAATATAGGGGGCACAATTACTTTTTATGCGGGGAGGCAGTCTTATGTAATTACGAAACTGTATATGTGTGTATGTGTGTTTTTTGTTGTTGTTTTTTTTTGCATGTTTTGTGTGTATATTTTTGGCTTTCATGGAAATTATGAATTTTGGCCCCCAGAACCTTAAATAAAGCTATAGCAGAACGTGCGTGTGCATAGCCAGATTAGAAAAACATTGAATTATTTACGAATATTTCATCCCTGATTCGCTCAAACATTTCAAATACTGATATTTCTGAAGCTTCCCTGTGGCTTAGCGCCATGTCTGCGTGCTTATGACGCTGTCGGCAGAATACAACACCCCATTGTGTAGCTTTGCGCTTAATAACAAAGAAACGTGTATTTCTGAATCATAATAGGCCACTCGCTTGAAGGTGGTTATAGTTTGCGTAAGCTATAGAAAATAGCAGCAAAACATTTTTATATATAGTCTAATTTTAATGGGGGAAAAACTGTATTTATTAATTTATAAGAAGTTATGCTAAATTGCTTAAAAGTTGTATTTTTTTCTGCTGTTTCTTAACTAGAATTCCGTTTTTCAGAAAAATTTCTGTGGTGTAGTATTGTTTCCATTTCCTGTTAGCTGTTTATTATCAAAAAATAAAAACATTTAAAGGTGTTTAATTGTTTTATTAATGTACAATATAGTGTATCTGATCTCAAAAATTCAGTTTATTTTTACATTTACAAGCGTACTGTATTCTGACATAACTACTGTTCTAAGGATTGTAATATATACTGGGCAGTATTCTGCTGTTTCTGTGTCTGTACTGATTTACTGGTAAGTACCTGGAAGTTTGAGTTTTACTTTCTTAAATGCTGTGTGATGAGGACTCACTTTCACTGCATTGGTCAACTTTTCATATGAACAAGATATTCACATATGTAATGTCAAACCTATAAGAAGGATCGTGATGTCGAAAAGTACTGCCCCTCCCCGAATCTTATTTTTTACCCATAAGTTCGCTCACGTGTTCCTTTTATTAATGTATGATTGTACCAAGTTCCGTATTGAATAGTCAGAAACATTTTAAAAGTATAAGATCTGTACCACCAGTGGTTTCCAGCCTGTGGTACGCGACAAATTCTTCATTAATTTAATCTATTTTATTCGTTAGGCATCTTGGTTTTTTCGTATCTTTCTGGTACTGTTTAAGTGGCATTATCAAACGGTGATACCATGCGCTAAAAAAATCCGGAACTACTATTCTCTACTATGGAAATTTGCAACTACTATTCAATGAAAAATCCTTCACCTGTTATGAAAGCCGAGTTACAGTTGTTCCTGGTGGTTCCATGCAAATTTATGTAGCGTTCTTTAAATAATGACCTCAGTGATATGAATCGTGCATTTGTTTACTTCAAACCACATAAAGTACCTCTAGTTACATGGCAAGTTTGTGTCGTTTTTTAAGAGACAAAGTAACTAATCCATATATAAATATATATATATATACATACCGGATAATTATTCGTAAATATACACGTGAGGAACCAATATTGTTATTCATAGAATTTTTAATAGAATGATAGATATCATTCTTACCCGTTCATTTGAATATTTAGCGACAGGGAATTTATTTTAATAACTTCTTTCAAAACTTCACTTTTCTGGAAGTCGGTGTTAATAAACACAATAAAATCGTTAGACATGAATATGTTTAGTTTGATGAATTCAGAAATCGATTATAAAAGATAGGTAGAGGTTGGTAAGAATCTTATTTGCGTGATTCAGAAACTATTGTACCAATCAGAAGTGCACGAAACATCCTTGAATTGGTATGAGATATAATGCAAGAAGACCATGAAATTGTATACTTTGCGACACAAGACATGGCTTTTTGGAATGGTACGGCCACAAAAAAAATCATTATTTATGTCCAATAACATAGGAAATGGTATCATACTTGAACTTGGGACTCGTAAATAGCAAAAGAAAAAGGTTTAGACTCTTTCCTTGTAATCCACCAAACAGAAATGTTCATGGAGATTTTTCTCTTAATTGTAGCGCCAGAAAAAAAGATGTTAGAGTTAGCCCTAAACCACATAATAAGGGGGAAAAGAACGTTTATTGGAAGTTTTATTTTTATTATTTTAACACGATATTATTTGTTATAGACAGTACAATATATAACTGGATGATGATTTAAGTTGTAGGCCTTATTACACAACAAGCGCAAATGACAACCAATGTAGACCACTCCTAATAGATGGATTAGTTTTTCCCAAACTGTGACGTGTCAAGATGGTTAGGTATTTCAGTTAGTTTTGTCGCTGAATTGTGAGTATAACTTAAGTGAGTTTAACAAGACAAGAACATGTCACTGAGTTGAGAAGATACAAATTGCCACAAACGGTTGGCTTATCAATATACGAGTTCGCCACGGGTGGTTAAGATATTCATCACGTATGATTGAGTTCTAACGATACGAGTTTACCACAGATGGTTAAGATGTGAATTTAACATCAATAAAAGATGAAGTTGCGAAGACTGCTTTTATTTACAACGAGAAATACAGATTCAGTGTATTCTATTTGTATGGTAGTGTGTTGACCAATGGCCGGAAGTTGGCTAGTAGAAGTATCACGCTTTTAAGAAACCTGTTATATAGTCATAGTGAATTGTAAAAATCAAAAACCGGTTGCCCGAATATTTCTTTGTGATGATGTATATAAATAGAATACATATATATATTGATTAACAATTACACAATTCCGTGTTTCAAAACTACAAAGTTACCGCAACAAAATTTTATTTAGGAATCAATCAATTTGCTATATACTGAAAATTGTAAAGGCGCTAAGAACTTATTGATCTGTGTTTATGCGAAAACTAAACATTATATAGACTGATAAATTGTATGTGTTATTGATCTCTACTTGTACAGAAGCTAAAACCTGGCTAGTGACAGTTCAATGTGTGTGAGATGTGTAAGTTTGATATTTGAAAGGGATACAACTAGAAGACTGTTCATACACTTTCCGCAGGAAAAGAAAAGAACTTATCTGATGCTTTGTTTATTTTCCTCCGACTCGCTGCCTGAAGTTAGGTTGTCATGGTAACTTATCATTAGGGGCGACGATAGCCGTCGCACGATTTATAGCTTCTATATATATAATAGATGTGGTTTGGACGGTCCAGATCGTTTCTGTGGACCGTGGTTTCAGTTCGTCCTACTGTTAGGCTTCTTGCTAGTGTTATCGTATGTATTTTAACAACTCAATCTAATAATAAATCTTTGGCGGTAGCCGTAAATATGTTTAGATCATAAACGTCTCAGTGGTAACTGTGTGTCTGTCTGTCTATCCATTAGTTATAGAAAAACAGTTGAGAGTTAAGAATTAATTGTTGCTTTCGTTCCTACCGCAGAAAGTTTCGAGATGAACGGGCCAAAGCCGAGTTAACTTGCTATACAGAACAGTATCAGTCCTGGCGATCGTGCGGAGCCGCAGGATGAGACGGAGACGATTGAACGTAGTAGCTTTGATTGCCATTTGTTGTGTCCCCGCTCTATTGTTTGTGTACTTGGTGTCGTCCGAGGGAGGTATGTGTTTTTTTTTGTTTTTTTTGTTAGAAATGAGCCTGTTAAACGAAGTTGATTTTTGTAGGTAAATATTTCGTACTTCCAGTAATTCACTAAGTAACTGATATAATTAAACTTAGTTGAACATCTTTGAAACTGTAAATGGTTCATAGACTCGGTACAGTTATTATTGTTTGGGTTATTTTTTAACAAATTAACCAAAACCTGTTTGATTAAGAAATACGTAATGTTAGCCATCATTACCTTATCAGTCATTCTTATGCTCGACTCGCATTCTGAGGGTCGCGGGTTCGAATCCCCGTACTACCAAACATGCTCGCTCTTTCAGCTAGGGGGCGTTATAATGTGACGGTCAATCCCACTATTCGTTATTAAAAGAGTAGCCTAAGAGTTGGCGGTTGGTGGTGATGACTAGCTGCCTTCCCTCTAGTCTTACACTGCTAAATTAGGGATGGCTAGCGCAGATAGCCCTCGTGTAGCTTTGCGCGAAATTAAAAAACAAACATTTGAATGACTGTCTTCAGTTTAATTCTGACGTGAGTATTTATTATTGATATTAAATAAGATAATGAATGTAGCGTGTTTGTCAGTGTGTATGTATGTAACCAAAACTCCTGCGCCATCTATTGAATGGGACCACAAACAAAAAATATTACATTTTGGTTATTCAATATTCAGACAGAAAAAAAACTGGTATGTGCAACAACTATTTCTTTATAATAAAACACAATTTAAATGAAAGTACTCGTGACACAAAAAGAACAGGATTTTCACTAGGACTGTTCCTGAGGGTTTGATTATATCTTTATTGGTGTAATTTTTAAATGTAGTACTGAGAAACTGGAATTCTTAAAAAAAAACTTATTTTTTTTTTAACAAACGGTACCACTTTTAATATATAAGACATTACAGTTTACAGGAGCAAAATCTGTGAACATTTTAAGCTCTGTACATTGAATCATTTTGATGCCATTAGTTGCGTATGACTAAAGAGCACAATCCAAACAGTTTTTCTGTTCAGTTCTTTCAAGAAAAAAAAATCCTTTTTAGAAAACGTCCACTTTTTTTTCAATGATATATGAATACTACGATTAGTAATTACTAGTACAAACAGCCTACTGTAGGGTGGAGTTTCTGTAAGATAATCTACATTTGTTTGTATCTCTTAGGGATATACTTCGTAATATATTTTGGTGTCAGTTCAGTGACGGTTAACCTGGTGTCATTATCATTCGTCATTAAACCTTCCTACATCGTATGTGCTTTGAAAGTTTCTTGTTATAATGATATTACAATATTACTACAACAGAGTGTAGGCAGGTTATGATTTATCAATATATTTATCTAACTCGCACTACATAGGAGAATGAAATTTAAGTTTTTTTTTTGTTTTTTTATGAATCGAAACGAAGCCACGGGTATACTTTTGTGTTGTTAGGCATTTATCTATGTAATCAGAAATGTTAAATTTCTGTAGTGCATATTGGTATATATAAAAAAAAGCAACATTTTAATACTAAATCGACTGGTGTATTTAAGTGTTTTACACTCACAAAAAAGAAACCTATCATTCTATAGGTATTTGAAGAACTTGTAGCATT